ATCTTGGATGAGCATTTTGCCGTGTATCGTAAACGGAGCCAGAAGTCCGAGTGGGTCAAAGAACCCCATTACGTAGCTTAGGACCAACCGCTTTGTTGGTCGTTGAGCACCTTCGAAAAGCGGTTTTAGCTCTGGTCGATGATCGGTGGCAAATGAAAAGACGTCTTGGCTTGGATTCCAAATTATTCCAAGGACTCGCTCGTTCTCCGTTGCTTTTTCGACATTGAACTGAACTGTTTGGGTCGGCTGTGGTTCTCCAAGACACTCAAGTACTTCGGCGGAGTTCGAGACCCAGTTTCTAATCTCGAAGCCCGCATTTGAATGAATGAATCGTACCTCTTTAGCTCGACGTACTGCTTCTTCGATGGTGTTGACACTATCGTAATAGTCATCAACATAGTGTTTTTTGATTATAGCTGCCGCCGCCTCTGGATACTCTGCTGAAAACTCCGACGCGTTGAGATTTTTAACATATTGTGCCGAACATGGGGAGCAGGTTGACCCAAACGTGGCAACATCCATGATGTACACGCTCGGCTCCTCATCCTGTAGATTCTTCCTGAACAGGAATAGCTGCGCTCCCTTGTCGGCCTTGCGGATTTTCATCTGGTGGTACATCTCACGAATGTCTCCCCCGAAAGCAATTCGGTGCTCACGAAAGGGACAAAACACAGCAATCAGTGGTGTCAGCATATCGGGACCTTTGAGCAACTGGCTGTTGAGAGACACACCATTTACTGTTGCTGCAGCGTCCCATACGAGACGGATTTTCCCAGGTTTCTTCGGATTTTGGACGTAATTCAGAGGAAGATACCACCTCTTTTGTGGATCGATTTCCGCCAGCTCCTTCGACGTCGCTAGGTGGGCATAGCCTTTTAGTTGATACTCCTCAATCTGTTGTCGAATCTTCTCGTACAACTCGGGAGTCTTTCCCAAACGCTGCTCCAACTGCTTCAACCTCCTACGGGCCATCGGAAAACTGTCCGGAAATGTTGGATCGTCGGTTCTCCAGAGCAGCCCTGTCTCAAAACGATTACCGACACGCATGGTTGTTCGCTCCAAAATCTCCCGAACTCTCTTCTCGTCTTTTGTCTCTTGTACAACCGCCACTATGGATTCTTCCAGAGAGTAGTGGTCTTTCAGCAAATTGTAGATATCTTCGTTGCTAATTTCACGGTGATGTCCGATGATATTTCCACCGCCTGTTCGTCCTGCTGACGGACCATAAATCGACCATCCGAGCTTAAAACGCACAGCTATCGGTTCTCCAATACCCCGGACCTTGGCTTCAATTGGCGCAATGGTGTGAAGATTGTTTAGGCCAATGAGCAAACCCGGATGTTGATCCGTGTACGAGACTATTGGCACGTCACGAAGATGGCTATATTTAGCGGATATTTCCGCAGCATTCAGTGACTGTTTCGGAAGAAGCAGTTTTTCAACCGTCTGCGCGGACGAGAGTAGGTATTTTTCTTCTTTTCCCACAGCGGAGATCCTCAAATCCATCCTTCTGGAATTCGGTTCAACACGTGTGACATCCGCGGTCCATTTTATGGTGAGTGGCTGCTTGACACCTTCGACACCTAGCTGTTCAGCCAGAGAATGTTCAATCAGGGTAATCGATGCTCCTTCGTCCAGGAACGCTAGCGTCGATACGTGCTTTTCCCCGCAGTGTAGTGTCACGGGCACCATCCGGAAGATTACGGAAACCGACGTGCGGATGTGTGTATTAATGACCACCGCACTTTCGAATGGGTGCAGTAACGGATGATGGCGCTCACGGCAGTTTCCTACGTTGCATCGGATTTTAAATTTACATGGAGCGTTACCATGATCATTTAGGCAGATTTTGCAGAGCTTGCCTTTCTCCACGATCTTCATACGATTGTCAAAATTCAATGCTTTGAAGTCTTGGCAAAAGCGTAAGCGATGGTCCGTTCTTTTGCACATTTTGCAGGGTTTTAATTTATCGGTGGTTAGCTCATTTGCTGCGTTTTCAGGCGTGCTATGATTGAAAACGGACCCTTTTTCACGGCTCCTTCCCTTTCCAGCGTGTCCCGGGAACTTAGTTTTGGGTTCTGGTCTGTACCCATTGCTTACGTTGGCCTCGCATGCCTCCGACACAATCTTAGAGAGGAAATTGGAAAAAGTTCTCAATGTTACCGTTTTCCTCTTGTTCCGGAAACGAATCCACTCTCGCTTGTCACCTGCAGGTAATTTGTCCACCAGGTCCTGAATCAAAAGCGGATTGATCAAATGCTGCTTTAGGCCCGCAGCCTCTAGATGGTCACACAGCTGTTCCACTTCGTTTCCGAAAGGGATGAACGTCTCCAATTTGTCTGCTTTTGGAGCATCTAGACGCTTTACTTTTTCCAGGTGACAATGCAACAGCTGCTCTGGGCGTCCGTAGAGTTGACGGAGTTTGCCCATCACCTTCGGCACTGACTTCGGCATCAACAATTGCCCACGAACGCTCTCCAACGCAGGACCCTTCAGGCTATCCTGCAAGCGCACCAAGTTCTCAACATCGTTGAAGCCACAAGCTGCATTGGAGGCTTCGTAACTCCCGACAAACAGCGGCCACTCTTCGGGTCTCCCGGTGAAAATAGGAAGCTTCTTAGAAATCCCATTTCGCGCTGCCAACTGAGCTTTTGTTGGTCCGACCGGCTGGTGCCCCTCCCCGTGTGAGGCTACCTTTTTCTTTCGATGTCGTGGCTCATCTTTTGGTGGTTCTGGATCTTCCTCCGTTTCGTAATCCGATTCTTCGTCTGACTCTTCAACGGTCGTTTCCCCCGAGCAATCATCATCGACCTCCTCATCGTCGCTGTTTTCTTCCGCCGAATCGTACTCGTCATCCGAACTTTCATCCGACCTTTCATGTACCCTATGTTTTCCGGTTAATGGCTTCTTCCGTTGGACCTTCAGCTGCTTAGCTATTTTCGGCGAGTCTTTTACTGAATCCGGTTTCTTTTCGTCAGCTTTTCCGTCGTCGTACTTCTCGTCTGCTCCACCATTCCTTGACGTACCTTTCACACCTTTAATCGCATTTCCATATGATTCCCGCATCTGCTGCATACGATCGGCATGCGCTTGTGCATCACAAAGTTCTTGTTCCAGCAATTGCTTCTCTTGCTGCATTTCCTTCTCTCTTAGCTCATTTTTCATTTTCCGCAGTTTTTCCTTCACGATCCGATCCATTTCCATACGTTTTTCTCTTAGGATCTGCTCGCTTTCCATTTCCCTTTCTTTTGCTTTTCGCTCCCTCTCCAACGCTCTGAGTCGTTTCTCAAGAGTGGAACCGGCTTGACGGTCAGATTTGGTACTGGACTTATCCGACTGTTCATCCGTTGCAAGCAGTTTCTTCGGCTTCGTTCCTTTCTTGGCTTCCTCCAACTTTTTACGGTACTCATCATCTACTTTCCGGCAGGTCTCAGACAGGCAGTACCACTTTTCCTGCCCTTCGAGAGATTCACGGGTAAGTCCCACGCATCGAAAATGATACCAAAGGTCGCACGCATCACATCCCACCATGTCCTCATCAGTCTCCGATGTATTCGAGCAAGTACCGCAGGGGGTCAACGTAAAACTCCCAGACTTCACCATAGTGTTTGAGGTTATATCCGATATCAAATTTTAGAGAATGTTCGGATTTACCTTAAGAAAATACACCACCTTTCTGTAGCAGCTTTTAGTAGCAGCTCTAAACTGTAATTTAATATTTTAATTAGGTTGATGCACAATTTAATCTTACAATAACTTACATTTGATAGTTTCTTTCCAGGTCCTCGTGCTACTGAGGTTCGGCAAGGGCTTACAAAGTTGATTACGTACTTTTGTAGGCTAAATACAATGTTTTAATTATCTTTTAATTATGTAACTTTTTAATTTAGTGTATATAGATAGGCTTAAATCACTTACGTTATTGTTTAACTAAGATAAGCTAAGTTTTAAACCCTATTAGTTCAAAACAATTTAGTTTTATTTCACGTACTGCATTCCCTAGAATAAGTAATACTTTTATAATTGAAATTCATAAATGGAAATATTTTACTACCACTATTTTTAGGCTCGAGTTGAGAAGTTAATCTTAGTTGAAACACTATTGTTTCACTGTAGTTTTCTACTATATAATCGCTATTTGTATAGCTAACGAAGTTGTACCTCCACTTATATTCACCGAGGTTTGTTTTTGTTTCTTCCTTTTCCTTCCGTCCGATCGCTGTCAACTAGATCGATCAACGATCTACGCTATGAGTTAGACCGTCACTCTCCACGTACTGTGTGCCTACTGGTTTTCGCCACACCGGGATTTCAGTGACTAGTGAAAACATTCCTTTCTTCGAATATTTATAAAATTTCTTTTTCGAATCTATCTTCTTCTATATAGGTACATACAAATGAATTTCTGTCTGTCTGTCTGACCCTTATAGACTCGGAAACTACTGAACCGATCGGCGTGAAAATTTGTATGCAGGGGTTTTTGGGGCAGGAAAGGTTCGAGACCCCTCCCCCTCTGTAGAGGGGGGTTCTTATACAAATGAATCAGAAATTGCTGCATTACTCGAGAACTAATCAAGCAAATGGAACCAAATTTGGCATGTCGAGGTCATAGGGGGTAGCCCCTTAGATAAGAGGGGGGGGGGGCTTCATACAATATAGCATGCTTTTTTTAATTGGCGCATAAACTCAAGCTAATATTGAATCCCGAGCAAGGCCGGGCACACTCAGCTAGTATTTAATAAAGACAGAAACACAACCTTCTTTGAATATTCATGAATAGTTCTTAAGAGCTTTAAACGTTAAAAAAGTTTCGATTTTGTGAAAGAACGATTGCTGCTAAAAAAAAGTAATAATCATAGATTGTAAAGTAACTCTTGGTTTCCATAATATATTGAATTAGTGATTACGCCAAACGTCCGTTATGTCAAGTGCCCATAATGCCAAACGTACCAGACTCGATAAGCATCATTTCGACTAATTTCCTGAAACAATCTTTTTAGGTTTTCATTGCAAATTATTCCTTAAAACATCCCATATCTGTTGACGGAAAACTGATTCCAAAGCGCGCAATATTGAATGATGGGTGCCTTATAGAAATATGTCGAACGCGATTTCGTTGGACCTTTGACACAACCCTTCTACAAGCTCGAACGGAGAAGGTTAAAAAGGCAGAAAGAACTCCAACCAGTTCAAAGCTCGGCAAACCTAGACGCACGACAATAGTCCGCAAGAAACAGATAATCGAACATGCGGAACATGCCGTTGGTTCCAGCGGTAGAAAATCAGGTCCGAAAAAATCCCAGAAAACACCAACATACACTCTACCTAAAAACAATAAACAGCTATTGAAGAACATAAAAAAGAGATTTACAATGCACAGGTATGACCTTATTTTGATACCAATTGATTGTACCGATATAAGACTTAATTTATTTCTGCTTTGAAGTGTTATGGTTGATCATAATTCCGACGATGACGAAGAAATAGACGACGAAGATCACGATCATAATGAAAGTACTGGTAAGTTTTAGTGTTGTATTTGTTTTAATTTGTAATTTTTCATTGTTGATATTCAAATTTGGTTTTATTTTCTATAGCTACGGAATCGAACATCGACCATGATATAAGTGATACTCCCAGAAAACTTGCTCCTCCTGATATATCGAAGAATAATACACCATTCTATACACCAGATCTGGAGAAGGAAAATCAAACTCCCGTAGCAGTTGGTAAAACTCCGGGAACCCCAAAGGCTCAGGCCTTACAATTGGAAAACTCTGCCATGATGATTCTGTCGTACACGCCAGTCGTTGGTCCTCGTTCCAAAGTTAATGTTGCGAAAACGCCACTATCATCAAACAAAAAAACTACACACGCTCTACGTTCTGGCTTCTTGACGCCTAAAAATAACAACATCTCGACCGTTGCGACCACTTTGAACTCGCCAAATGTTTCTAAAGTGGGCAGTTCTATGTACCTTATCGATCTTACAACTCCAAACTCAAAAAACAGCAGCTATGCCAGTAATCGATCGGATCAGTCATTTTCATCGCCAGCTGGATTAATCGATCTTACAACTCCCCCTTCGAAAAAGTCAAAAACTCCATCATCTGCCATTGCCAAGTCGTCCCAGAAAGGATTGCTACGCTCGGCTCTGAAAAATGCCAGGCAAACTCCTCTTTCCGCGTTGCGTTCTGGCTACGCGACTGGTACTCCAAAACATGTCCCGAAATATATGCTCGAGGATTCGGTGAGTAAATCTCCGAAAACACCGGGAAAAAGCATTAGAACTCTACTGACTCCGTCAAGCAGTTCTAAGAACAAAACTCGCAGTCAAATGACAACGCCAATTATGAATAAAACATTCGATTCACCCGTTACCGCTCACTCTCAAAAGCCACAAACGCCACAACATAAGGGCGAACACGGCGGCGAAACTGATACGCCAAAAGAACCACCGGTTATGACTACAGATGAACTGTTCGATACGTTAGTGGGTAGGCAATCCATCAAGAAAACATATTCAAGGAAATCCGAATCTCCGAAAAAGCTGCCGTCTCCATTGGTCCCAGTGGAAGGGTCGTGCGAACTTCCGAAAACTGATATCGACATTTGGGTAGAATCGGTCGTGGCTGCCGTCACTAGCCCGGAATCTCTGGATGCGGAATCTTTTATGAAAATGCCCAACCGTACGACGCAAGTTCGTTCATCTCAATACTCCGATATAACTCCGCATGAATCTTTCACAGATGCACCAGTTGCAGTAGCAATTGAAATGCCTCCAACGGACAAATCTCAAGAGAACACAAGCCCTGACGAAGTGTCGGCAATTATCAGCGAAGGTGAAATCGAAAAGCATGATAAACCAAATCCTGCTTGGACCCGCAGAAGTCATACGCCCTTAGCGAGTAAAATCGTTCGCTCACTGGGCTACAAACGGCAAACGATCGGAAACTTTTTCACCAACATGTTTGGAAAATTGACTGTCAGTCCGGTGACCAGAGTAAGCATTACTGGTGAGAACAGTGACGAGGTAACAGAAGAAACCCATCAACCCGACCTGGATCGTAGCTCAGAATCCGAGATTTCAGAAGAGGAATATCACGACAGCGAATCAGACCAGCAGATAGATGTAGCTGTTCAATCCGAGGGCATCAATCCTAGTCCAAAACTGCGTCAGTCTTTGCGGGATACTAGAAGGTTTATCGGAAATGCGTTGACTTCATTGAATACATCTAAACTGACGTTAGACAACTCAGTTGAAATCGACGAAAGTCTACTGTTGAGTGAAACCTACGACGACAATGTAGTCAACCAAAGCGCATTGGTGGAAGAAAATTATGATTTGACTGATCTCAGTGCTCGACCGGAAACGGCACACCTGATTGACGTGCCGTGTGCTGTTACTCTTGATGAACATTCACAGCCCTCGACATCCGCAAGGAAATCTGCTAGAAAGGTCGTTCATCCGGATTTTAGATCAGAGATATCTCCTACGGACAACGATACACAACCGCTTTCGCCACGGTAAGTTTAGTATTTATGTGTTGTCGATCTTACTTCTACTGTAAAATTATTATCGTTCTTTAGGGTTGTCCATCAGTCACGTACATCTGTTTCCCTTTCTACGCCATCAGTTCGAAAGAATATTCGTCAAACGCTGGATGTTGACATTAGTCCTCTGGCCGTCCCCCTTCAGCTCACACCAGTCAAGGATTCCCGGAAATCCGTTATAAATTGTTCGATGACCGATCAAGAAGTTTCAACGTGCGTCATCGATGAACCCCACCAGGCACCGGTTACTGCTGCACGGTATGTGGCAGATGCTTTTTAATTTCAGAAATGGATTAAGATTGAATTCTAATAATAACAACTTTGATTCGCAGTGAAAGTGTCTTGGTTGATACTAGTCCTGATGCTGATACTGCTATCACAGAGAAGAGAAAATCATTTGTCTCGAGACGGAGCTCCAGAAAATCTATTGTACATAATTCTATTTCCGACACAGGAGCTTCCACGGAAGAATCAAAGGACCACTCAAGCGTTTCTGAGTAAGTAGCATTGATCAATGAGTTGTTTGTTCCTCTTTTTGACGTAGGACTACGCCTGTGATTTCTATATGGGGGTACACTTTGTGAAAACCGAAAATGGAACATGTAACGAAATTATGAAAGATTGTGAATGTTAATAACTAAGCTGCCCCTGGACCAATTTCAATAATTTTCTCAATAATCGATCAGAAATATTTCTACGGATCGATAGCAATGCTTTCGACTGTTGATTTTCAACGAGAAACTAGTGTCCAAAAGCGTCGAAATAACTAACAAATCCACCAATTACGTACATGTGTATGTTGCTTCCCCAACACAGTTATCAGAGAATCGTTTCTTGACGTCTAAACATGTCGATGTTGCATTGACTTCTTGCCACAAGATTTCACCAATACAACGTTGCTAGTATAGCCGTGTAAAATCGATTTGTTTATTATTTTCAACCACGAAATCAGTTGTCAAAGTGTTCGACTTAACAGCTGTTTGTTTTATTTTTTTTATTTTCAAGCAGTAAAATGCTTGTATTAGTTAAACTGCTTACTAATCTAACGGTGGTAGAGAACTCTATTGCTGCTTCTCCAACACTGTCATCAGAGAGTCGTTAGTAGACGAAATAAGTCAAAGTGGCATTCGCTTCCGATCTTCGGGCGTGTGTAACATTTTGCACACTCATCGCCATGTTCAGAACACACACAAAATGCTCTCCATGCTGATGTTCTGGATGATTGAAGAGCATAGCAGAAATAGTGCAAAATACGCTAGTGAAGCCATGGTCATCAAAAGAGGAAATCGATTAAGAGAATTGACTTTCACACCTCTGCTTTCTAAGCCCCTTAATTCAGTCGTCGTCATATAGCAATGAAAACTAACATCGCACCGCTTTTGATGCTTGGTTTAAACTTACTGGTTGCAATTCTGCTGTTCGAGCTTTTCGAAGGACCAAAAAACATGAAATTATTAGACTATTTTCTATGGATGCCTAAAGTTCAATTATTCAATTAACGACTAATCGTAAAGATTTTTCCAGCTATTCGATTAACTATTTATCGAATTTTCAATCATTCGAGCACGTAACCGCCATCCCTTCTTATTTCTACTCGTTTGATTTAGCGCAGTATAGAAAATAAATAAAAGTATTAATTTATCTGAACAGGCATAGACAAGAACCATGACGTGAAACAGGATCATAAATTCGTCGAAAAAAGTGTTAAGCGTCTTTCTGCTAAAGGCTAAGATTTACCAACCAATTGAACCTCTGTCCAGCAGCAGACGAGTCGAGACTCTTGCGAGTGCCCAATCATTAAACCGAAGAATATGGGATTGTCCGGTCCGATTTGCTTATCCAGCTCCCTACACGTCATCATCATCTTCCAAAGGTTTTAAGCCTGTACTACCATCGGCTCTTTTCAGGGCCACAAAGATTTTCCAAAGAGTTAAATTTCTGAACATGTTCCAACTAAAATTCATATCAAAAGGTTCTTTTCAAGGCAATCATAGTCATACTAAAGAGTATAAAAAGAGAAAACCTCGCTCAAATTCCTATTCCTACACAAAACACAAGCTCCTGCTGCAGTTAACAAATAACATATATTATATAATACCACGTAGTCCTACGTCACCATTGCGTACAACCCTATAGGGCTGTCCCTTGTAGATTTTTTTAACAAGACTAATTATATAATTTAAGCACGGAATCGTCCGACGTTAATTGTCCGGTGGAAACGACTGAGAGTGCAACACCTCTGCGTTCTCGTCTATCCATGCGCGTTTCCAGAAATTCGACGGTCAATGTCGAAGCGCAACAGTTGGAACCTGCGGAGGAATGGATTCGGGATGGATTGCATCCCTCTGCGGACGTTTCTTCTGTTGATCACATGTAAGTTATCTAGATTTGAATCATTACGTATGATATTTTGTGTAGTGTAATCGTGCTCCCCGACTAAATTACCTTGAATCGGAAAATCACATTTATTTCTGCTCGGGACATTAAAAAACCAACAGTTTAGAGCAGCTTGGTCAACAATATTTTCTTATTCTTTTTGCCAGTATCAACACATCTGCTACTGAAAGTACTACACCAAACCTCGAAGAGGGTACAGTACGTGGAGAAGTCCAAAACGGAAATGACGCATCTGTTGCAAATAATTCTGGCGTCGATAACAACGAACTGGAGCAATCAATCAATCTCGAGGACGCTGAAGAGGTCACATCCACGAGGCGTTCTCGTTCCATAAAAATACATAGTACTGTCCCAACAGAGAATACGGAACAAATCACTTCAAATCAATCGACCACTGAATGTGTCGCATCCAAAAATATTTCTCACTCTAGGAGAGCTACGTTTTCGTCTTCAACTCCACTGCAAGAGGAGGTGGGAATGAAGTTAGCAAGCCCTGAACCGACCTTAGGACTGCAAATGATGTCGTCTGCTAAGCGAATTACTCGAAAGTCATTAGCAGTTACTGCTGCTAGTTTACCAAATGCTAGTCGGACTATCAGCACAATGATTATGAGTGAACCTAAACTATCACTTCGGGGAATTCGATTGCCGGCAAGGTTGTTGGGCCTCTAGTTAAAGCATTGAATGTAGATTTGACCTACTTTTTTTTATAGCTTACGTCTCAGTTTTCACGACCCATCCATGGATGATCTTAGCAGCTCGCCCGACAAAACTTTAACGGAAAACCCTGTCATTGACGAAGGTAATACAGTTCAACAAATCGGTCCAGAAACGATCAGTCCCACTTCCAACTCAGACTCGCCGGACAACGTCTCCTCCGCCGCTGGTGACAATGAAGAGTTAATGGAAGCCAACCATGATTCATTGTCTACGTCAACTTTGGAAGCTGTAGACGCTGAAGTAAAAAACTTAAACGAAGATAAACACCAAGATCAATCGACCGTATCTGAAATGGTACAATCTCACATATTAGTTAGATGGGCTGTTACTAGTTATTTATATACACTTGCATTCCTCATAGGTTTCCAACACACCTGTTCGCCGAGGAAGGAGTTCTCTCCGACAAAGTCGAACGTCTACAGGTAAAAGCGATAACGATAGACTGAGTGCATCGATGGGAAAACCGGTAAAAAATCCAACGAATGGTACACCGATTTTTAGAAAAGCTATCTTTGCCATGTGTACCCCATCGCGTACATCCGGTTATTCAGATGCCCCTGGATTACGTGCGATGGCAGCTGGTCAGGTAACTAAAGAAATGACACAAGTTCGTACAGAATCCAAACCAGGAACTCGTGCGCGTTCTACAAGAAGATCAACTATTGGTGCAAAGGAATCAACTCCCGCGAATCGTAATCCAGAAATAGATGCTCAAAATGAGTTCGCTATTGTGGATGTTGCAGCAAGTATTAGGTCACCCAATAAGGATTCGGAGCAAACGTCAATGCCGACTGAAGGTTTACGACCAGATTCCTCACCGGTAAGACAAATACATTTTGGTTTAGATTTTTGTCCGTTTTACGGAATCCTCTTCGATGCTTCCACGCCTACCATCAATGCAATCGATAACGCACTTTTGGCTGATATTAACCATATGTAGGCTAAATGAACCAGTTTTTGGCCCAATAAGTTCCCTAATTCGTCCTATCTTAGTTTTATTTATTTATTTATTATGAGCAAATGCTAGTATAAAAATGAATAAAAGTTATTCATTTATGAGTAACTGATAATCAATTCTAAAATGTGTAAAAAATATACACCTTTAGGGGTAGTCCCGATGGATCACTTACACTATTTGCTACATCTTTCGATGTTTTGTTGTTGTTTTAGTCAGTTAACTCTCGTAAGGTCGTAAATGTTTTTTTTTTTTTATAATTTTTTTTTGATATTTTTAGCCGTAAATGTGTCGATTTTAGGTCGTAAATATGCTGTCGAAAATTTGGCGCAACTTTTCACATTTTGTTCTTTAATGCTGAACATATAAAACGCCACAGTCAGTTCTTCGTTCTAGTCCTTCGCTGTAAGGATCTGCGGAAAAGTTGGCTAACTGTACTAATGTTAAATATTCTCAGCTGCAACTTTACTGACGACCACTTTTTAACGTAGGACTACGTCTGTGATTTCTATATGGGGGTACACTTTGTGTAAACCGAAAAAGAAAATATAACAAAATTATGAAAGATTTTGAAAATAAATAACTCAGCTGCCTCTGGACCAATTTCAAAAACTTTATCACCTGTTCGATGATTTGCGCATCCCTACTGCGCTCCCCAACCGCAAGACTTTGGCACACCCTGTGCGATAACAATTCAATTACAACACACAGTCCTTTTCTGTTCTTTTGTTTGACCGAATAAAGTTAGTTGTGCTCCATAGTCATGAGAATCGAGACGCTTTTTATTAGATTGACTATTGATTGTTCGTAGAAACCGAACCCCCAAAATTTACAGTCCACTCGATACCGTTAACAAAGTGGTCCTTCGAACCGGATCCTAAGAAACCGGTGGATTTCGACGCGGTTTACGTGAATAAAGTACGTGATTTCTAGTGAGGAATTTCGATCCGAGCATCGGTTTTGTACTGCGGTCGAACCGGTGTTAGTGACGCGCTAGCAGCTTGGCTCAAAGCGGTCGCTACATGTGAAAAGTGAAAGAAGAATTCCTATCTGATCCGTTCCGAAACGTTTCCGACGCTAAAGCGTTTTCAAGTGCATTAGTGCCCTTTTCTAAAAATTCGTACAGCTAAAGCGGGATTTTTTGCAAATGGCGGTTTAGTTGTGTGCGCGAGTGAAAAAGAAGATGCCACCAAAGACACCGAGAACGCCTGTACAGCCAGCTACACCTGTTGCTGAACAAAAAGTGGAGAAGAAAAAGAAAGAAGAAAATAAAAGGATGGAAGAGCAGCTCAAGGGGCTAGTCAATCAGAGAGTGGCAGTTCATGGCAAACTGGCCCGTGTTAACACTGCTTTGCAGTACAGTGCGGATCAACCGAATCCGAACATTAGAAACATTCATTTTCTTCAGTTCCACAAAAAGACTGTAGAGAACTGTTATAACGAGTGCAATAGTATTCAGAATCAGATTTATGTACTACCACTCTCTGAAGACCGCCAAGAAGAAGAAACCGAGAGCTACATCGAATTCGAGTCGCTATACAACGACGTTTCCGTTCAATTGTGTATGTTGATCGAGGCGGTGACGAAAACAGAAACTGAACTAATTCTCCCGGTCGGACATCCGAATCCAGTTCCACCGTTTCCAATCCATCCGTATCTCCCACCGCTACAAGTGCCCTTGCCGACATTCGACGGCTCTTACGAAAAGTGGTATTCGTTCAAGTCTTTGTTTACCACCGTGATGAACCGCTACCAGCAGGAGGAACCAGCATTGAAACTGTTCCATCTGCGAAACAGTCTTGTCGGGCAAGCAGCTGGCATCATCGACGAAGATTTGATAAATAATAATGATTATGATGCCGCATGGATGTTGCTTACACAGCGGTACGAAGATAAACGTGTCGTTGTTGACAAACACGTTGAAAATCTATTCAACCTGCCGAAGGTTAGCCAGGAGAACGCAGCGAACATGAGGAAATTGATCGACAGCAGCACCAAGAACGTGGAGGGCTTGCGGCATCAGAACTTACCGGTGGATGGACTCGGAGAACAGATGCTGGTGAATCTTATCGCTGCAACGATAGACTTTCTGCAAGAGCAGTGTCGAATTTACGAAAAGCTCGACGCGAGTATGAAGCCGTTGACGGAGAGTGCTAAACCGAAAGCGATGGCTAGGAGCCATACGCTAGTGACAAGTGATATGAAGAATGACAAGTTTGAATACAAATGTCCAGTGTGTAAGGCAAGCCATGAACTTTGGAAGTGCGAGGCCTACAAAAACAAAAGTGTCAGTGAGAAATACGAAGTGCTAAAAAGGTGCGGCGCCTGCTTCAACTGCTTAGGGAGAGGCCACCAAACCAGTGCATGTGCATCGTCACGTTCTTGTCGGGAATGTGGCAAGAAACATCACACTACGCTCCACGTTGAAGACGCATTTAAAAACGTGAACAGCTCCACTTCCTCAAATACGACTGATTCTTCCACGCCAGTCGTAAAACCAGCTGGAAACCTGATGACCAGCACTACAGCAGGAACGTCAACAACCCTGTGTGCTGAGAATTCCGAGAAGCAGACCCTGCTTTCTACTGCCGTTGTTTTGGTCAACGGCTTGTGCAGCACTCCATATCCATGTCGTGTGCTTCTGGATTCCGCTTCGCAAATGAATTTTGTGACAGAACGATTTGCGAACCTACTCTCACTGAAAATGGTACCTGCTAACTTCACGGTTAGCGGTCTGAACGGCAAGAAAACTAGGATTTGCCGTATGCTGCGCACCACGATTAGGTCTTGTCACGCTGGCTTCACTACTGACCTAGATCTACTGGTTACCCCACGAATCACTGGTGATCTGCCGGTGAAATCATTCGATGTTTCGGAGTGGCCCATCTCGAGCGAGCAGGTGCTGGCCGATCCGACGTTCAACAATCGAGGACGTGTCGATATGTTAATCGGCGCTGAATACTTCTGGAACCTGATGGAGGATGGCCAAATCGAACTTGGTTCGAATCTTCCAATACTACGAAACACGAAGCTGGGATGGATTGCTGGAGGAATAATCGCGAGCGATGCACCTGTCGTTGCGCGCACTTTCTGTCAAACAACTGACGACGACCCGATCATCGACCGGCTGAAGAGCTTCTACAGGGTGGAGGCTTGTGATGAAATTCGCCCATCCGCTACAGCGGATGAAGAGAAGTGTGTCGAACATTTCCGTCGCACACACCTACGAAATGAGGAAGGGCGGTACATTGTGCGTCACCCCTTTAACGAACGCAAGCACGAACTAGGAGATTCACGTGAAATGGCGCTGAAACGCTTTCTGCACCTGGAGCGGAAGCTAGACAAGCAACCAGAATTAAAGGAGCAGTACTCGCTGTTCATCCGAGAGTACGAACAACTCGGGCACATGCGAGAGATTCAGGAGACAACGGAGGAACCAGGATCGGTGTACTATTTGCCACACCACTGTGTGCTGAGACCCACCAGTACGACGACCAAATTAAGAGTTGTATTTGATGGGTCGGCTAGAACGTCCTCGGGTGTATCGATCAACGATATACTGATGACTGGACCAAGTGTTCAGAGTGATCTCATCGCGATTTTGCTTCGTTTCCGAGGATTCCAGTTCGTCTTTACGCTGGACATTCCAAAAATGTTTCGTCAAGTTGGCGTACATTGGTTAGATACAAGGTACCTACGCATTTTTTGGAGGTACAACAAAGATGATATTCTGACCGTCCGAGAGCTGCAGACGGTTACGTATGGCCTGGCATCATCACCGTTCCAAGCAACGATGGCGCTCAAGCAAACTGCAGTTGATCACAAGGAGGAATTTCCGGAAGCCGCAAATATCGTCGAAAAAGGGACGTACATGGACGACATCCTAACAGGTGCCGATACGCTAGCTGAAGCATGCAAGCTCCAACGAGAAGTGACGGATCTGCTGGCGAAGGGATGCTTTGGCGCTCATAAGTGGTGTGCCAACCACCCCGATATTGTGAAAGGTGTTTCTGAAGAGCTACGAGGAAACTCGTTCGTAGTATCTGACGAAAATTCAAAGTCGATCGTGAAGACTCTTGGCATGACCTGGGATCCGGTCGACGATTGGTTTTCTGTATCGGTTCCGGAATACGACGTTTTGGATGAAGTGACTCGTCGCAAGCTTCTAAGCCAGCTGGCCAAGATTTTCGATCCGCTGGGCTTCTTCGGCCCCGTGATTACAACTGCAAAGCTGATTCTGCGAGAGGTTGGCGAAATGCAGATTGATTGGGACGAGCCAGTCCCTTCTGAAGTGAGATCCAAGTGGCTAAATTTTCGCACAGAAATAGCCGTCCTTAACAAGGTGCGAATGCCAAGGTGGATTTCCTGGAATGGTGCGTTCAAGCTTGAGCTGCATGGATTTGCGGACGCCTCCGACGTGGCGTACGGAGCGTGCCTCTATACACGAGCAGTTTTTCCAGACGGATCCGCTCAGATGAAACTGGTTTGCAGTAAATCCCGCATTCTACCGATGAAGAGGGCGAAAACTAAGGCTGTCACGACTCCTCGTGCTGAACTGTTGGCGGCCTTGTTACTCGCCAAGTTGACTGTGAAGTTGCAGGACGCTACGGAATTAGACTTCGCGTCGACGAATCTGTGGAGTGATTCAAAAATAGTGTTAGCGTGGATCAGCAAACCACCGAACGTCTTACATACCTACGTTTCGAATCGTGTAAGTGAAATACAAAAACTTACCCCGAATTGCAGCTGGAAATATATTCCTACGGACGAGAATCCGGCCGACCTTATATCCCGAGGAGAGCGGCCGAAAAAATTACTCGAGTCTAAGATGTGGTGGACTGGCCCACCCACATTCAACGGTTCTG